CCATTCCTCCATCTCTCTACCCACCCATCCATTCTTCCACTGTCTATCCATCCATTCTTCCACCTTTCTGTTCACCCATTCATTAATCCAACCAGCCTACCCACCTATCTATTCTTCTATTCATCCATTCATCCATCTATTTACCCATTGTCTGACTTCTCTCACTGAGATAAAACACCCAGCGCTCAAAGGAGGAAAGGTTTATTTTGGCTCACAGATTTTAGAGCTTTAAGTCACCAGGCAGCTGGCTCTGAGCAGGGTGGTGTGGCAGAGAGACACGGATGGCAGAGGTGAAACACCTCGTGGCAGGCAGGAGGCAGCAAGGCAGGAAAGAAGCAAAGCAGCAAGCAACAGAAGACAAGCAGCGACACCCTTTGTGTACTTATAGTCCATCCAGGCTCCCTACCCTAGGGCAGTAGCAATCACACCCAGGATGCGGCAGCCTTAATCTCACCATAGCATCCTGACGCAGTGCCAGCATCACATCCTTCATGCCAGCATCCATCACACACCCTGGATCCAGCTACCTCCCAAAAGCTCCACCTCTGAGTGCACGAGGCCAGCTACATACAGGCCATGACACCTCCTCACCCAGCCATCCATTCCTGTATGCATCTATCCACCCGCTCATTGAGACCCTTCCACGTGCAACAGGGCACTGTGCTGAGTGTAAGAACATGAAGACAAAGTCGAATGAGGTGACCTTGCTTGGGGAATTCACCATCCCCTTAAAAGCGAGACACTTTCAGATGGCTGTTCCAAAATGATACCATCTGAAGCACCATGGCCTGGAAGGGGACTGTTCAGCCACATGCCTTCCCGCCCCAGATCCTTGCTGTCTCTGACTCCAGCAGACTTGGGAAGAAGGATGCAAAGGAAGGGGGCAAACACCGGTCGTGCCCGCTTGGTGGGCCTGGTGCTCATGTGCTCTCTTGAGCTTTTCCATAGGGGTCTCCAGGGCTCTCTACCAGGGCCATATATCAGCGCCTCCTGGGAAATGTGGGCTGCAAGTCACGTCAGATGCTCGGGTGAGACTCAGGCGGGGCACATTATTAAAGCTCATCAAATGATCGGGAGGTGCAGCTGGCCTTCCACAGCTCCCCAAATCATGGCATGGGGGAAATGCCAGGCATGGGCATCACAGGTCACTCCAGGACCTGCCGTGTCACATTAGCTTGGTTTATTCTGCATTCCTTTGGCTGGCATTATAGATGGAGAATCTTTTGCAGAGTGGACAGGTGCTACCCAGGGCCACCTGTTGCCTCATCCCGCTGCACCCCAGGGTCTAGACGCTATCATTCTCTTCCACCTTCCCAGAAAGAGCCATCTTGCATGGAGGAGCAGCCAAGTGGGTGTGGGCCCCAGGCCACCTACGCTGCTGTCCTGGCTCCTCCTGTACCAGCCTGCCGAGTCCCAGAATCGCCACCCCTCAGTGTCCACCTTGTGGGAGGAAGTAGGATTAAATGAATCTCTATAAAAGCAAAGAGCACTGTGTGCTCAAATGTACCACTGTGTGGGGACCAGGAAGATAGCTCAGTAAAATAAGTGCTTGCCTGGCAAACACAAGGGCCTGAGTTCAATCCCCAGTTCCGCAAAAAAAAGTACCACTGTGATTACAGTGCCCTAACCCAGCCCCTTTGGAACTGGCACACACTGCTGGCAGGTCCCTAACAGTGCCCTTTAGCTTTGGGCTCTGTGGGAAGCACCACGGTGGGTGTGATTGGTAGTTGTCACTCAGCCCCAAATGGGACCTGGGGGGAGGTCCCCGGGGAGAGTAGGAGGTGGAAGCACAAGGAAGCGGATGGGCAAGGAGCCCACCCTTCCTCAGGCCTTGTAGGAATGGGGGAAGGAAGCTAGGAAGATGGTGTAAGTTAGTGAAGGCTCTAATCAAATATTTATCAGGGAACTGATCTTTCTCCTGACTGCCAAGCCCTCCCCCATCACCCTGCCTGCCCAGCGCAGTGTCCGTGCAGTAGGCCTCATGCCTCCGCTCTGGCTACCCCAGGTGGTAGCTGCTCCCCCACCCCTGCTGAGAACCCTTTCTCCTGCATTCGCTTTCCCCACCCTAAGTCTGCCCTTCCCCTGCTTGGCCCCAGCATGTCTGCTAACAGCAGGTGATGTGGCATCCTGGGCTAGTATGGACCAGCAAGACAAGGACCTCCAGCAAGGCAGGGAGCAGTCCGTTGCAGCTCAACTGATGCCCCAGTTTCCAACTCACTGCAGAGAAGAAGGGACTGGCAGCTGTGTAGAGGAGGAGGTGGGAGGAAGAGGAGCAGGAGGGAGGAAAGAAGGAAGGAAGGAAGGAAGGAAGGAAGGAAGGAAGGAAGGAAGGAGAGCAGGAAGGAAGAAAGGAGGAGGGGGA